GTGTCCAGTCATCTACCAAGAACTTGTAGTATCCATTACAAGGCGAGTTACAGCTGTTTTGCTGGCCAAAGGTCGCGCAACACGTTATAGAATAGGTGGTCATAATGTTTGACTCTTAGAATAGGTGGTCATAATGTTTGGCTCTTCAGTATATTATTCCATCATATAAATGCTTTTAAAATATGTTTTGATATTTAATGAGAATTATTTATATTCATATTTTGATTTATTTGTTTAAGTATTTTGCTTATTGATTCCAAAAAAGGTTTATTCTTGCAGTTTCAGATAACATGTCACACCGAATAACATGTTACTTTTTCCTGGCCAAACTGGTAACCTGTTAACGTAGTTTGATTACTTTTCCAAAACGAAAACATTCTATTCATTTAATTATTTCTGTTCCTTTCTTATTACTATTACCAAACGACCAAACGAACGGTACTTTCTGAACATATCTCATTAAACAATAGTTCTAAATTGAATATGACAAAAAGTAATTTCTGGGAGTGGTGAGAAGCTTCATTTTCCATCAGTGGTTGTATATATTTTTCACTGTCTTTCTTTAGTTGCTGGGCTGAAATGTATATCTATGAAAGCTTATAAAAAGACTTACGAAGATTTCCAGAGAGAAGTGTCGGTACATTGCAATATTATTGTTAAGTGCTACAGTTTTACTAAGATCTTTTTAAATACTAAGCCAAATGAGAAGAAAAATTCTTATTTTTGCAAAAGGAGATAAGAATTTTCATAGATGAGGAAACACACAGCTAAAAATGGTCGAAAAATAATAAAGACGTATTGAAATTTTCTCTATCAGGAAACGAAAATCGAAAATTTAAAAAAAAAACTTCCACAAACCAAAGGCTGCAATCAGTGAATAATAAATTCAGTGACAACCATTTGTGACATAAAGTTAAGAAGAAATGTGGAGCAGATAGTATCTTCCCCATCCCAAACTAAAGACCGAATTTTTTTCCTTTCAAACCCTCTTGCCCTCGCTCGTTAAAAAGAGATGTTATCGGAATCGATGTCTTTTTTTTTTTTAAAAGGAATCATTGGCTTGTTCTTCTCTTACTAGATGCTTAGATTAAACTGAAGTATAAAAAATTAAAAGTTTAAGCATCCACACACGCACATCCTATTTTATACATAAAGTGATTTATATTTTCCTTCCTGTTCTGCATCTATTTTCTGTTATGTTAGAATTTACTAGACTTCTGCTTATGTATTGTTAGCGCATGTCTATAATTTAAAAATATAATATTGGATATAAAAAAAGATAAGTTATTTAAATACTGTTGTTAAATTTTCTTTTTATTTCTAAACAATATGTGTAAATTAACATCCTATATGTTACGCGGCTATTGTACTATTGCAAGATTATTTGAATATGAAAATTTCAGAGATTTTATTCTCATAATGGTAAGTTACTTATTATAAATCGTCTATTAATTAGAATTTATATTTTTAGGAAATCTTTAATTCTTTTGGCAATGATATCAGCAAATATCAAAAGTCGTCGAGAGAGCATATTTGTCATATTATTAAAAATTTAACTGTTATTAGAGTTCATTAACATTCTATCAAACTGTTTTATTAAACTTGTAAAATTACAAAAATGCAATCATCTAATTTTATGTTGTACTTTAATTACTGGTAATAATCATTATTTACTGGTAATAATCATTATAAAATGTTAGAAAAATAAATTTTAAGATTAATAAAACCATTCGTTTTGGAATTCGATTTCATTTACTTCCTAAGCTTAAATGAATTCTGCGCATTTTTTACATTTTTAATACTTTTTAAAATCATTTGCAATATTGTAAATAAATTAAAATTTGCTTCATTTTTTTAAATTTCATTCTCGAAAGCTCCTGAAATCACCGTTCCTTACTAAAAACATCACTTCTTCGTGAAGGGAGACTGCTAGACGCTTGCAATTCAAGATCCGGGCTTCCATGTGCCCATATTCAGATGGAGGACTAAGTTATTCACAATTTGGTGGCTGTAGGTTTTCTTGTTTTTCCACAATTACATATCCTGGCGAATGGTATGGATATGTAATAATTTTATAGATTTCCCTGTATGTCAAGTGAATATAAGCAGCTTCCCTTAGAAAATTCTGTACAAAAAGCACCCCTCTCATAGACACGCAGATAATCCTCGTCTGATTTGCTGTAGATTGTTGAAGAAATATTAATGTCTTTCTGTATAGGACTGTATATTAATGTCTTTCGGTATACTCTGGAGTGGGAAACGTGAAAACAAAAGTTCCCTCGCCGAGATCACGCGCGAGAAAATGCAATATTTCATTGAATGTTGCAGAAATTGTCATGCACATTTTATAAAACTTTGGCATAAGGGAAGTATTAATTAAAACAATATGTGTTGCATCCCCATAGCTTGTGTGTGATTTAAGTCTGAGAAATAGAGAGGAAAAACGAATTTCCATAAATTTAACCCAGAAAATATCAAAAATCAAGAATTATCCTGAAATGCAACGCAATACCATCTTTCTCCAATTTATCTTCTTGAAAACCTGAGAAAAAACACTAAATAATTTTCCTTTGGAAATGATTGAGAAATCATCCTTTACAAACAAAACGCCAAATCTGGAATATGAAAGACGTTGGATAAGTTCATCATCTATCGTTACTGCCATATATTATGCTTTCATTTCGGGCTGTCATGGGATACAAAAATTTGTTCTCTGTTGACGGAACCTAAAACCTTTCTTCTACTTTGAAGACTTAGAATCATTTTTTGCATTTTGTTTCCGTCTAGATATTATTTTCAAAGCTCATCATTTAAGTAGAGCTTTAAAAATAACATTTGAAATTTCGCATTTGCGAAACATAATTCTTACGTGAAGCCTAATATTTCCTGAGAAATTTCATTTGCCGTATAGAAGTTTAATGCGCCTACGTAAATGTGCAAAATTAAGCAAATAAATTGGTGTAGATTTCGTATGAGGTCATTTTTGTGAGTGCAAAAGTGAATTAAATCGTTTTAGGAGGGAAAAAATGATTTCCTGATAGCTTTAGTGAGTCGAAGAAATCCGCATTTTCTCATAACTACATCAAAAGAAGTTTATGAAGTTTTATAAGAATTTTTGAATGCGAAACATGCCTGTAAAGTGATTGGGATTTTATTTTGGAGGAGGAGACGTGAAATATGTGTAATGCCTTCGGCGGAATTCGAACTCCAGACCTTCCGATTTTTAGCCGGACGTGCTTCCAATACAACTATCAAGGCATGCGGTAAAAGGAAGGAAATAACTTACATCCTTCTGAATTAACAGCGAACGGAGAGGAGGGGACCTAGCTGCCAAATCTTGGTGGTGACGAATAATCGTCCATTACATATTTACTTCCTTGTAGAAATTAAGGAAGTATTGTAATCCCGAAAAATTTTGGGTATCATATTTCAGGGAAAATATTTATTTTGACCGCTGTTGAATTCATTTAAACGATTTTTTTTTTTGAGTAACATTATAAGGTATTTCTCCCGCCTTCTTAGCAAGCCTTCGTAGTGTAATGGTCTGCACGCTGAGCGATTATTCCAGAGGTCTGTGGTTCGATTGCCGACGTAGGCGTTGCTCCTTTTTCATCACTCCTGCTTTAAAAATAATCTAATGCCTCTGCAGTGGCGCCCAAACTAAAAGGGCGGTGGATGATATTTCTCCACACCCAGGATTTGGCGTCTGGGTACCTTAAAAACCCCAGTCGCCCTAATGGTCTGCACGCTAGCGCGTATTCCAGAGGTCCGTGGTTCGATTCCCGGCGAGGGCGTTGCTCATTTTTCATCTCTCCTGCTTCCAATTAACCTAATGTCTCTATAATCGGTGTACCTACGGGTAGAATGAAGGATAAATATGCCAGGATTTAGGGCTTAAAACAAAAGATACACAGATTGAGAAAAGCCCAAGTTGCCTGGGATCTGAAGTCCGCGTGACAAGCCTAATAGCGAGGATAAAACAACGCCGCAGAATATTTCTCTCAAGAGAATAAGATTAGCAACGTGGCCTTCAGCAGGCAAAGCACGCTCTGATTCTACCCTCTAAAACGTTCACTTAAATACTGTCTCCTTTCTATCCCATTTGAATACGCATGAGCTAGAAATTTGCATTCTGGCAAGAAAATTGGAAACGAGAAGGCCAGTAAAGCACGTTAACATAACTAGTTAATGCAACTAAAATGAAACCTTATAAAATGATAATTCATCACTATCCCAATATGAATAAGCAGACATAAACCACTTCAAAAGATAAAAGTTAATGTGACAAAAGGTAATGACATTTCGAGCACGACTCAGATTTGATATGAAAGGTGAATCATAAATCCAAAACTGAGAAGAAAGCTTAATAAAATCGATCGTTTTGATTTGATATGAAAGGTGAATCATAAATCCAAAACTGAGAAGAAAGCTAAATAAAATCGATCGTTTTGATTTTACTTTCTAATGTAAAGTAAACATACTGCAATTAAAGCTGAAATTTTTACACAGCTTTAAAATATATGCTTTTACAGGCCTAAAATATTTTCACAATGGTTTGGGATCCTTAAAGGCGTCAACCAATTATTCGGTAAGTCAGAGATTATTAAAAGAATTTCTCAGCATAAAAGTACGAAGTATATCCTGATCAAATTATAACTTCCTTAAAAATAAAAAAATGCTTCATTAAGCTTCAGCTACATAATTATAAAAAAATGATTTAGTTTGTTACTCTGATTATTAATGCAAGTGAAAAGGCTGCTTGTTTAAAAGTGCCCGCACCTTTATAGTGGTTGTTTTCCAAAGTAAAGCATTTATTTCGATAAAGGTCTGAGCAACTTTTTCCAGTGAATGCATATGCCCTGGAATTGATAAACGCATAAGAATTCTGCTTCCTCGCGTAATATGATTACCACAAGGCTTACAGTGACTGTAATTTAGTTTATGAAATGCATTTACTTTTGCTTTTATAGAGTGCTCACTCAACATATCTTTCATTGCAGATGATAAAAATGATGATTACCGTAGTATCTGTGTTCACTCTCTGCTGGCTTCCTCTGAACGCCCTGATAGTGGCAGGCGATGAACATGATTTCATCTGGCAATATCCCAACATCCACTATATCTGGTTTGTTTGCCATTGGCTGGCCATGAGTAACGCCTCCTACAACCCCATCATCTACTGCTGGATGAACTCCAAGTACCGCGAAGGCTTCAGGCACGTGTTCTACAAGGTTTTCTGCCTGACAGGCGAGGACCATCGATTCAAGGGCTCCCTGCATCGAAATGGATTGCACAGGTATACCAACAACACCGTCTATACCAGTATTCGTTCCACTGGGTTCCAGAGGGGGTCCCAGAGTTCAAGCCATAAGGGTTCCTTCAGGAATCAAAAGCAACAGCACAACAGGACGGAGAGCCTGTTGATTCGTGGAGAACATAACGAGAAGTTCTCACAGAACCTAAATGGGCATTCCAAGAACTGCTTGGACTCTCCTGTTTGAAAAGATCTCTGAAGCATTTACCATATATAAGACTCAGCAGTTAGGTTAGATGTGTTCGTGCATACACAAATTGTGATTAATTATTTCTATGTTCATTTTCTCCTTCATTTTTACTAGAGAAAGCAAATGGGATGTAGATGAATGGAATCACTGAATAAGTGGAATGATTGCATATTTGCAAATATGTCATCATCCGAAGTAAACCTCCTACACTAAAATTCATCTTTGCAAGCATTCTGGAAGTTATTATATTCCTTCTCCAAAGAGCGCGTTTGGTAAGGTGTGCTTATCCACATGCGAACCGCTGCCATGACACTAGGAAACGTGGGTTCTAAGTCTGGGTTATAAAAATGATGTGCTAGTACATCATACTTTTCTATACGTGATAAACACGGATCTCCTTATTATCTGCAATGCGTGGTCAAAATATGGGAATTTCTTGACTGTAAAAGTAACGATAAGCCTTTGTTCCTGCTCATTCATCAATTTCACAAGCACCTAACAAGATTCTCTTACTCCCCCTGTAAATAAAATGTGGCAGTCAGAATATAGAAGCTTATTTACTACTCTGAAGGAACCACCATTCAGTTTATTCTGCTATGACAGCGTGGAAAAAAAAAATGGATGTTGCAAAATGTTCTTGGCATGTCAGTTTGTGGCAATTTATAAACGTGCATCTACGTAAAGAAACCAGGTAGTTTAATCAAATAACTAAATAAATACATTTTAACTACACAATGAAACGTTCTTTTGTAAGTTATTTCGACAATACTCTTCTTGATAACTTCCCACTTTTTGATAACCTCGCTCATAAGCCATACGGTCTGTCTCAAAAGTTTAGAAACAATTGAAAGTTATGTGTTAATAGAAAGCGATGCAAAAATTAAACGAAATAGGACAGTTCCAGAGCGTTGCCATATGAACGTGACTCAAAATCTTTAACTTTCAAATTGTACCTGCTTAAGAAACTGAACAATTTAAAAGCAGCAAACACACTCCTAACCTATATTTTGTAAAGATTAGAAAATATCTTTGGAGAAATCTTCCAAAAAATTCTAGACACTTGTATATTATGTTATGCTATTTTGCATTTTTCGTATATACAGCTTATGTTTCCGTTGCGCGGAAAGTAATACCTTTAATTTAGTCTACACCAAGGAGGTTAGAATAAATGGAGTAAACCTCGCTCGTAAGTCCCATACGATGAAAATGAAGCCATGAAATGACCTCACGACTTATCAAAGCCGCCACCATAAGTGGACTTCTAGTTTTGTTTACATTCTTATCGGTGTTGTCTTGATCAGGAGTTCTCAAACTTTTCAAATTGTGAATCACATAAATATGACACAAAAATATATGTACCACCAATAAAGCATATCGCCATTAAAAATCAATGCATCCTAAATGGAATGTATATAATAAAAGAATAAAAATCTTTAAATTTATATTATTTAATTATATTCGTAAATAACACTTTTGCATTACAATAAAATATAAATGAGTATACTACGAGTATATAGATATAAATTACAATTGTGGTAAGTAGTAATAATACATATATTAAGCAAATAATATAGTTGTACAAAACAAAGAAGACACCTGAGTCACAAGGTCAGCACTGACTAAATACATTTTTAAAAAAATGTATACATTCTGCCTTTTTGACATTTTAGATATTACAAGGTTTAAGAAAATGGTGAACGTTGTGAAATTTAGCCAGTTTCCTTGGAAAAGTTATCATTTCAACATTCAAGCTAGAGCCGTAAAAGCCTAAAACTTAAAAAATATATGTGTTTCTGAATAATAAATATTAAAACAAAATGTTAAAAGGAGCGTTATTTTGCATTCATTTTAAACATTCATTTAATATTTTCTGTAAAAATTCTACCATTAAAAATATTGTAATGTGCCACCAGTGGTACATGTACCACAGTTTGAGAACCGGTGGTCTAGATGCTAGCGCTTCATCAATGAACATTTATAAGTCTCCTGTTCTAATTTTGATACTTAACATAAGAGATTTTTCTATTTAGTATATAAAAAAATCACAAGTATTGCAAATAACCACTTTAAGTTTAATAAAATCTAGGTACGTGAGAATGTGTAAATGGTATCTATAAAACGAATATACACATAGCAACACCTGGAAGATCAGTAAAAGTTTCAATGGTATTTTATGCAAATTATATCTACACTTTTCTCACTGCGGATGTTGATATATGCTCTCGAAGTCAATGTAATTTTATTTAACAATATGCTTCGTAGTTTTATCTGCACGCTGTATGGCATGATAAGTCGTGACATCACGCTGCTGACATTTCCTTTGCTTCATTTCTGTGACGTCAGGCTTACTCCATCTATTATAATCTTAATGGTCTGCATACAGCTCGTAAGTGGCAAGTTCTGAAAGTGTTGCCATTCGGAAGACTATAAAATAATTAATTTATCTTTCAAATATAAATCATATGTAGTTCTTAGCAAGCAGAAGGATTTAAAGGCAACTAACACGCATCTTAATAACTTAAATCTTTACTTTGTGTTTCCAAATACCTGTGATTAATGTAGTACAAAATACATTTATTCTATAATACATGTAACTGATAATTTTATGAAGTATTACTGAAACTAATAAAAAATCTTTCTAACGTCATCTACATCATAACTCCTACAAAATCGTTCGAACTTTACAAAAAATTCAAGTTTTGAGTTGCATCAAAACAGATAAAAAATTGGAAAATTAAGTTAAAAAAAAAAAACAAAACTTCATAAATTAACTAATTGGATTGCAACACAAACCATCATTTTTAGAACATCAATTAGTAATTAGTGAAGCTATTAATGGAACAAAACAGTTCTCTCCGTTTTAAAATATCATCAATTAAACATTTTTTAACAAAATGCTTTTATGTAAGATATCTTTTTTTTTTTTTTTTTTTTTTTTTTTTTTTTTTTTAATTTTCGTGTAAAATTCACATGTTTTATTTTTTGTATATTTCATTACCGCTGAATTCTGTTTTCTGTTGGAATTTTATTCGCAGTTTTTGTTAGAGCCTAAATTTTGAGACAGACTGTGTTGGTGTTTGTTGATAATTACCGCCACCTGTAACTTTTATTTTATTTAATTATTGTTTCGTAAATTTACTCTTTTATATTAAGTCAATATAAATTTTTCCAGCAGTTCATGAAATTTGATTTAATTTGTCTGCAAAGCTTTTTTACATTTAAATGAATGAACCAGAAATTCTTTGAGTATTCTTTATATGATTTTCGATCCTAAACGAAAGGTAAAAATAAATAAATAAGAAAGTGAACACATAACTCTTTTAATAAAATTTACATTTGAAAGAAAGGATTACAGAAACTCATTACTCAGCGTCGTTCAAATATCTTCTGTTTAATATGTGAATGTAAATTTTATGCAATAGATTTACGAAGCAGTACATGACATCTTTCTATGTTCTTGGAAAATCTCTTTTGCTTGATTGTTATCTAAGTATTATTGAATTTAAATTGCATACTCTGTTCATCTACAAAGTTTTAGAACTGAATATACATAAAAACTGAGGTTTAAAGAAATAATCTTTATCAATATTTAGTCGTCTGCGGGAATTTATTCTGATGTTATAGCATATTCATAAATCTTCTATATTGTTTCTTAAAAATCAGCTTTTGAAATATTCTTTCTTTGCGTTGTTGGGGTTTTCTAAAAGATTGAGGTGAAACGTTTTCAAAACTGTGCCTTTTAATCTGAGATCATTTGAAGTATTTATACAGATCTTAAATCCAGCGAGTATGGATGATAAGCATTATTATAAATTTTTTATGTCTTTGCAAATAGTTCTATTTGGCGATGAAAGTAGTATTTTTCTTCTTGACCCTTTCAGCGCGTGACAGAAAGCATCAACTACTTAAAAAAAATAAAAGAATTTTCCTCGTTTCCTTTTCGTAAAATTAGGATATTTTGTGGCAACAAGTTTACATGTGTTAATTATCATTGTCCTAGTCATTGTTTGCCGGCCTCCTTAGCGTGACACAAAAAGTCGTTCTAAAACTTTGTAGATACACTGCGCATATGTTCTCTTGTACATATTCTTTTATGTTTCATTGTGAACTTTGAGGATAATGGAATAAATAGCACGGGTAAATCTGGACTAAGTACGAAGGACTGATTGTTTCTCTGTACGCATTTTTAACCCTGTCACTCTTATCAAATACGTATTTTGTGACTCGCACTCATACACTCCTGATGAAGCTCTGTTCTTGAATATTTAAAGTCGTAAGCTATTTGTACACATCATAATGGTTTTTGTTTTGTTAAGAAATGTGTCATTGTAATAGTGTTTTTCAAAATCATTTTTTAATTATTTTTAAATTTGCATAAATGTTTTATTGTGTATTTCATGAACTGAAAATGAACCCCAAATGCATTTGATGTAAATTTGAATAAATGTTCATAAATGAAATGTATTATATATGTTTCATTCTCTCCCTCAGATCATAGCTCTTCATATTATAAGTATTTTTCGAAATTTAAAGGACGCATATTATTTCAACGTGAAGAAAAAAATGTTTTAAAACACTTTATTTGGTAAAACTTATTTCGGACATGTTTTTGCAACATCATTCGGTGCGAATGATTTTACAAACTTTTTAAAATGAAAATATAATTTATTGAGCTACAATACCTAAGAAATCCCTACTTAACGATCTCTGCAGAACAATAAAAAAAGCATAATTATTTTTACAGTTCTGAATGTATTTCTTGTAGGATGTTTACTACAGAGTAAGATACTATTTGGCTTATTTAGGAGTGCCTTCGAGGAGGACTTTCTAAGGAAAACTCGATCATATTCCTTAAAACACGAAAGCTCCCATAGAGCTCGTGCATCAGGAAATCCAATCCAATGTTTACATGATGTAGTTCTCTTATCCTCGGGTGTACCAGTCACATTCTAAAACGCGAAAAGCTGTATTTTTAACAATTAAATTCACATTTATCAAGAATGCAGCAAAATAAAAATAAAGCAAATTAAAATTGCAGAAATATAAAATAAACTTTTTGAGATGTGATACAATGAAACATGCGTTGATCGATACTGCTGAGAAATAAAATAAATTTTGATACGAGATTCCTAATTTCGAAAAGTAGTTCTTTTAATAAATTAAATGTAAAGTAATTAGATTGAAAACCAATTACAACTTTTTTCTGAAGCTAACTTTTTAAACATTTCAAAACAAGTTCGTTTACAAATTCTACTTTCCAACTCCCAAATAAAACCGAGCAGTGATGTTGAAATTATATAGTAACATATTTCAACCCAAAAATTTCATTTTAAATTCCGACTCCCAAATAAAACCGAGCAGTGATGTTGAAATTATATAGTAACATATTTCAACCCAAAAATTTCATTTTAAATTTTATTTGAACGGGAATAACTTTCTTTACTGCTTTTATACTTTCCTCTTAGTACCATTTTACGTTCCAAAACGAAATACAGAGAAAAACGTGGGAGCTTTCAAATTTGAAATAATTTCTTTTTTCAATTAAGTTTTACTGCTGCTTATGTTGGCAGAAAGAATATAATTTCCTAAATAGCAGGTAAATGTATGTCAATTTTTTTATATTTTTAAGTTGTAAATAGTAATTTTTTTCTGAGGTGTTTATATTGTAATCTGAAGATTACTTTTTATTAACTGGGAATTAGCTCAATTTTCTATGTAAAGGCACATTTTCTAATGAAATGTCACTCGACATGTTATTGAAAAACTAGTGATCTATTATCTAAATTGTCTCGGTGGTGTACATTTAAACTTTGATGGTAAGTTACTAAAACAAAAACATTAATAATCATGATAAATATTTTAGTTTTTTGCTACATCCATTTCACAATATTCTGGCAGAAGATTCTGAAACTGGAAAAATGTAGAATTATTAAACATACTGTACTTTTGAACACCTTGAAGGTGTGTTATTGTTTCCAGTTGGAGATTTTACTTGTTACAAATAAGAACCAGAAATCATGGCCTATTGAAGAAATCCGAGAAATCTGTAACAAGCTTCCATTTTTTAAAAGTACGCTGTTCATCGGAGTAACAAAATTTTTAATCAAAACATTTTATTTATACTTCTGAGTAACATTTTGCGGCAAATGTTATTTTATGCCAACGGCACTGCAGAATTTATTTCACTTTATTTAGTGCGATATTTCTTATTTTGAATATTTTCAATTTTTTATTTTTAATGTTTTTTGGTGTATGGTATGGTGGTGTATTTAGTTATGGCAAAGCACACTAGGGCTATCTGCCTAGGGGAAGGGATGCCTTTCGTGGAGGACTTTCTAAGGGAAACTGGCTCGTATATACGTTACACATGGGGAAAACCACGAAAACGCCCATGCAGCCAGCCCGTTCGCGGGATTCGAACCTCGGACCGAACTACCAGTGTTCAGCGACTTTACCGCTCGGCCGCTGGTGGGCGAATGTTTTTTGCAAAATTTTTAATAAGTAGAGAGCTTGGCAATTTAGAGCTCGAGCTGGCGATTTCTCGCCAAAAATGGCAACCCTATATTCTCTTGCCATTGTCTGGCAATTCTAAACCTGCCTTGCGGGGAAGCTATTCTACTGCACCTGGACATTTCGTAACAGTATGAAAATAATGTAGAGAATAAATGTATTATAAAAAAATAACGCTATGTACACTGCTCAAAAAAAAAAAAAAAAAAGGGGACAGTTCTACTTCTCCTGTTCTAGTGGACCGATTGAAAAAATTCAAATTTCGTTTTCCATGTCTCGAAAGCGCGACTTGAGATATGTATTAGATTTATATATAGCATTGTTCTAATATAGGAAGTTTTACACAAAATCGGACTTTTTCTGAAATGACCTGCCACTTTTTTTCAGTAATTCGATTCTAGGACTCAGATTCTGCTAAACTGCCAAGTTTTGCAAAAATCACACGAATAGTTTTTAAATAATTAGCTTTCAACATTTTAGCTCGTCAATGTTAATTCAGTTTGGTATGTATTTATTAATATCTCATTTTTTATTACATTTACTTCATTCCTTCTTTCACAATTCGAAATTTAGGTTCTTTCCAAATAAAATTCACCCATTTTTTATGATTTAATTTTAAAATTTGTATTTTTAAATCATTTTTATAAATTTTTGGGAAAAAATTTTTGAATTATGACCTATAAAATTTTTACCATCATCTTAAAGTAGATGTATTACTAAGTATACATGCAAAAAATTAGAGCTTTTTATTGTTTTTATTGTTATAAGTTTTCGAAGATATACGTGAATTTATATATTGGCGCCTTTTAAAATTTGGCATGTTTTTGAAAAGGATAATAACATCTAATGTGGTTTACGCACTTTGTTAAAATGGTTTGATAGTAGTAACGAAGCGACTATTTTCCACAATGTAAAATGGTTGGAACGATGTGACTTTTTTTCCACTGCTGCACAATGGAAGGGAATTTAAAATAGGTTGTCATATATAAAACGTTCGCCAAGTGAACAATTCTCGACGAAAACTTAAAAAAAAATTCGCAAAGCTAAATTTTGCATTCCTCTAAATTTCACGCCATATTTTACAAAATTTAATATTTAGGCATAATTTGAGTCGTAGAATCGAAATATGAAAAAACAATTGGTATATTATTTCAGAAAAAGACCCACTTTGTGTCAAAATACCTATGTTAGAACAATGCTATATATAAATCTAATATATATCCTAAGTCGTGCTTTCGAGACATGAAAAACGCAAGTTGAATTTCGTCAATCGGCCCAGTAGAACGGGAAATACGGAACTGTATTTTTTTTTCGCAGTGTACCAGTAAATATTTTAATTAATTTTACACCACTTCACTTTCAAGAAAATAGTGCAGAAACAAACTTAGAGATTTTCAGAATTCAAATACTTTTTGAAATTAATTTTATAGTGCAGTTTTCATTTTACCAAACAGTAAGCGATAAGCGACGGAGGACGTGACCACTACCCCTTTACTAATAAGTTAATTAGCACAGTGCCACGCCCACCCTTATCTAGAGTTTGACCAGAGGGCCACATGTGCGGCCCGCACAGGACGCTCAGACCCAACATCTGAACCAATCGGTTGGCAGCTCTGCGAACCAATTGCCACCTAATACCACCGGGCAGACTCCCGTCCAAATTGACCAGGTCCAGTATTTATTGATTCATAAACCATAGATGCTACATGGCCATACAGGGGCGTTTAAAATATTCATATGCTTTGGAATACATAATTGAGAAGGGTACATAATTGTGCGTTGACATTAACAAAAGACTGCAAATGATCACAAAGCTTCCAACGCATAACTCAGAACAGATCTTATAAGGTTTGCCAGAAAGATTTTCTTACAACAACCGATCTTCATGCATTCTGGGCAGAGGACCAGCCCATTTAAGTCTCTGTAGTTTGAAGAATTTTTCTACAACAGGTTGTCTGTTGATCTTACATAGCTCTAAACCAGATCTTCTACTCCACGATCCAGTCGCATGGACCCCACCAAGTATGCAGCGCAAGATCCTTTTCTCAAATATCTTCAAAGCTTTCCTCATCGCGTAACGTCAGCTCCAAAGCTTCCAACGCATAACTCAGAACAGATCTTATAAGACTTACAGAGTTTCACTTTCTTTCGTATCATATACTAACGAGCACTGGAAAGACTTTAGAGGAATTATTCTCAGGTCTTTGGGCAACAGACAAAGTCAGAAGAAGTGTATATATGAGCTTTTATTCAATCCTATGTATTTGTACCATTGACCCTAGTTGGGCTTACATAAGCCAATACTTCTGGCTTAATTTAAATAAGTAACTTTGAACTTAAAATAAAATGTAATAAAACTAGTCTAACAGCCCACAGGAAAATTTAAACACGCAGGAAGGCTTTGGCTTGTAAGTCGGCGGAACAAGTCTACTGGCTAGAAACACTCAACGCCACTGAACTAAATCGCTATTAATTAACAATGTGGCCTTCAGGTGGGTATAACACGCTCTAAATTTACTTTCAGAAACCTTCGCTTAAATAGCACTTCTTTGCCCCTTAATCTGAATATACGCGCACTAACTGATTTGCATTCTGGGGGAAATGTGTCGGTGGAAATGAAACTAACAGGAAAGTTACTTTAACTAAAAGTTAACTATTAGTCAAAATAAATGAATCTCTACAACTTTCCCTACCTGAATTTAAGTACACGAAAAACAGGTCGTTAACGACCTCTTTTTCGTGTACTTTCGTGTTAAAGAACTTTAACTATTTAACTACCAAAACATTTCAGAGCCAACCTTTCACAATAGCATAATTAAGTGTAAAAATAAAATTTCTATTACACAATTTGCATTGTACTTCAAAAGTACAATTTTTCAGCAGCTCACATCCTTCCAGAAAATCTGGAAGGAAATATATTCCATATTTCGTTTATATATTCCATATTT